CTCCACAATGAGCATTTTACTCCTGTTTTGTCACATCTCTCTCTGTCCACCAATCTCATCTTTCTCTGTGTATTTTTAAATAAGCTGCAGATACCAATATATTTTGCTCTTAAACACATAACCAATCCCTTAGTTTTTTCCAAATGAGAAAGTTACAGCCCAAAGAGGTAAGCAGACTTGCCGAAAGGTGCACAGTAGCCAGCACCCGCTCTGCGCTCCCAGCCCACGCCTCTGCTCTATGAGGCTCTGCACATTCTCACGCGGACACAGCGAGCCCAGGCTCCTGCTAAGAATACTGAAGCCAGTATTACTGGCATCCTCCTCCGGGGCCTGCCCTTCCAACACCTCTTGAAATCATGAGGCCGTAGTTTCACACTTGGCATCTTGGGTTACGCAGACATTTGTCACCCTCTTGGCATTTGCTGAAACCTGATTTGACTAGGACTCCGATTTTTCAAGTTCGCGCTCTTTCGCTGGGGGCAGAGTATGGCAGGTGCTCGATTACCTGTGAAGTTCATGGAACTGGAGAAAGGACATCCCCTTAGATGCATGTATGTCTCAGGAGTTCTGTTCCTTCCAGGAATCCCTTGAGAAGCAGGACACGAACTGTACCCCGGGGAGTGGGGGGTGATGCGAATGGGCCAGAGGAGGGAGGTGGAGATCCACTCCCTCTTGTATCCTGCACCCAGGGAATGAGGCACTCTTGGTTAAAATGAAGGTTTGGGGCCCAGCTCCAGCACGTGCCTCAGTAGTGGTGCCAGGAATGAACACAGACCCATTTGTGACTTCACAGGTGGCCCCTATATCCCACTTGAGGAAACACTTGCTAGGGTCCCTTCAAGGTGACAATCTAGAATCCTATTCGGCTGTGGCACACAGTGGAGGTGGCTACATCATACAAGAGGTATGCTTTTGGGATGTAGAATGTTTTCTGAGAATTCTGATTCATGAGAGGACCTGTGCCCAAGGTCAAGGGGACCAGGGCCCCCACACACCCCCTCGCCTGCCACAGCCCAGATGCACCTCTGTGATGATCAGGCAGGTAAGCATGCAGTTCCACAAGGGAATTCAAGTGTGCAAGCACCAGATATGGTCATTGTTCTTGGGAGTGAGTAAGAGGACAAAACAACGTATGAAAAAAACAAGTTTATTAGATGCACCTTTTTTAAAGCAGCGAATGAAGCAGGCATCTCATTGCTGGCCACACCACTCACCATTTGACACAGTACACGAGAGCCACCATAGCAGAACAAAATCAAGTAATTCACATTTTGTAGTAAGTGATATTTCATTGCAATTAAATTCAAAAAGGTTAAGCACTTTGAAACCAGGATCTTCATTTAAAAAGGCAGCTTCCTGCAGTCTCAATCCACAGACCCATCCTGAGAGGACACCAATTGTGTGACAGATTTTTTTCTCAGGGCCCAAAGAAATAAGGCTCAGAGTCTTCAAGTATTCACATTCCACGTCTGACCATCAGAACAATGACACATCCCAGAAGAAAATCTCTGTGCTCCAATCTACTGGCACCTCCAGCCACACGCTGGGTTTGTAAACTGGAGGAAGGAAACGACTGAGCTCCAGGTAGCATTCTGGACCCCATGCTCTTCCCTCCAGGCTTCCGTTGGTGAAAAGCTAAGAAATAGTGAACATATTCTCCAAAATGAGCCTGGGAAGGAGACTTGTACAGCCAGGGGTGCTGCTAAAATCAAATGTTACTGATTTGCTACAAAACACAGTGCCTGTGCCATAAGAGATCCAAGGTGCCGTCCAGAGCTTGCACAGAACTAAGAAAGTGTCCCAGTTGGTTCTGGTGCCCAAGAATCTTGAAACTCCAGGGTTCACAGGAAGGCTGTGCCCCAGTCAGAATAATATACTGAGTCAGTCTCCTGGATCCCCATGGCTTTGTAGGCTGCTGGGATGACCATTTCCCTGGGAACAGCAGAGATGGGGGCATCTCTGGCTGGTGAGCAGAGAGGCTCAAATGCCAACAGACCCCACCCATGCTGCACGTGCAACCAGTGCCCCGGGGTCCTGTCCATAAGCACCGAGACTCTGAACCAGCATCCTGCTTGCTATCACAGAGCAAGTTGACACTCTGAGAGCAGCCACATTAACACTGCGCAATGCCTCTGGGTCCAAAGGTGATGCTTACTGTCTTCGGTCTCTAGTTCGTACTGCAGACCTGGAACTAAATGCTGAGACTTGAACACTGGCATGTCAAGGCCTGCCTCCCTTCTCCCTGTGCATGTGTGTGTAGATTGCAGTGTGAAAAGGGAAGAGGAAAGTGTGTATGCAGAGAGTAGCCTTTTGGAAATGCTCTTACTGTACCACAGCGAGTCCAAAAATTCCTGTGGAAATTTTAAAAATTCACAGTGCCCCAGAGTGCCATTGAGTTGGGCAGCCTCAGTCAGAAACCTCTGATCTACCACGTATTTAACGACTTGTAGGTACTTTTTGGACACCGTTATGTTCTACCTCAAGGCTGAGAGGACATTTGAGAACATGTTAGGAAAGCCTTTGAGACCCCTGTGAGTTGTCTTTCTAAATAAAATATAACAGCTGCAGCCACGAGGCCTCCCAGTGCCCTGCTAGAGCAGGGTGGGCGTCTCGTCAGTGCTGGTCCTTTGGCCAAACTGGAAACACCAACTCCTGCAGAAAAACTAAGTACGAAAACCATGGGATTCCCCGAAATGGTGAGTCACATAGAGAAACAAAGTGCTGGGAGGTAAGAGATTCCAAGGAATTCATCCTTCAAGCTGAATTGAGCTGGTGAAAAGTTTTGTTTATTTTTTATATTTTTAAGTGTTTACTTCAGTGGTTTTTAGAATATTCTCAAAATTGTGCATCATCACTACTAATCCCAGAGCATTTTCACCACCAGCTCCTGGCTACCACTCCTCCATAATCTGTCTCTATAGATTTGCCTCTTCTGGATATTTCACATAAATGGAATTATATGGTATGTGGCTTTTTGCAATGGCTCCTATCATTTAGTATAATGTTTTCAAGGTTCACCCATATTATAGTATGTATCAGTACTTCATTTCTTTTTATTCTGAATAACATGTCATTATAGAGATATACATTTTGTTTATCCATTCATCAGTTGATAGATATTTGGGTTATTTCCATTTGTTGGCTATTATAAATTATGGTGCCATGAACATTTATGTACCAGTTTTTGTGTGCATGCTTTTTCTTTACATCCTTGCCCATCTCTTTGATTACAGCCATCTTAGTGGGTGTGAAGTGGTATTTCACTGTGGTTTTGATTTGCATTTCCCAAATGAATAATAATCCTGAGCATCCTTTCATGCGCTTACTGGCAGTTATATTATTTTCTTTGGAGAAGATATAAAAATGTCTAGTCACTTGTTAATTCAAATACATGTTTTGCCCATATTGAACATTGGCTTATTTGTCTTTTTATTATTAAGTTGTAAGAGTTCTTGATGTATTCTAGATACAAGTATATGATTTTGCAAATATTTCCTTTCTTTCATTCCATGAGCAAGCTGTCTTTTCACTTTCTTGATAGTGTCCTTTGAAGCATGAACCTTTTGTGCCCATTTTTATGAGGTCCAGTTTACCTAATTCTCCTTTCCTTGTGCTTTGGGTGTCTTATCTAAAATACCACTGCCTGATCCAAGGTCACAAAGATTGATGCCTATGTTTCTTCTAAGAGTTTTGTAGTTTTAGCTTTACATTTAGGTCTTTAATGCATTTTGAGTTAATTTTTATATAGAGTGTGAGGTAGGGGTCCAACTTCATTCACTTGCATGTGGATAGCAAGTTGTCCCAGCACCGTTTTTTGAAAAGACTATCATTCCTATTAAATTCTCTTGTCACACTTGCCAAAAATCAACTGGCCATAAATCTAAGTATTTATGTCTGTACTCTCTGTTCTACTATTGGTCAATGTGTCTGTCATTATGCCAGGACCAGACTGTTCTGATTACTGTAGCTTTCTAGTACATTTGAAAGCAGGAAGTGTGGATCCAATTTTGCTCTTCTTTTTCAAGGTTTATTTGGTTATTTGGGATTCCTAGCATTTTCATATGAATTTTAGGATCAGCTTATCAATTTATGCAAAGAGCCAGCTAGGATTTTGAGAGGAATAACATTAAATCTGTAGACCAATTTAGATAGTATTGTTAAGACCCAGGACAAAGGATGTCTCTCAATTTATTTAAGTCTTCTTCAATTTCTTTCAATGATATCCTGTAGTTTCCAGGGTATAAGTCTTATATGTCTTTCATTGAATTTATTTCTATTTTGTATTCTTTCTCATACTATGATAAATTTAATTATTTAATTTTATTGGCATATTGTTCATTGCTAGTATAAAGAAATACAATGACATCAAGCAGGTAGTGAAGCAAGCATCAGAGGGCGTCTCAAGGGCAGCCTGGGCTACACTGAGGACCAGGTTGTCTCCTGCAACTTTAACAGTGACACCCACTCCTCCATCTTCGATGCTGGGTTGGCACTGCCCTCAATGACCACTTCAAGTTCGTTTCATGCTGTGACAATGAATTTGGCTACAGCAACAGGTGGTGGACTTATGGCCCAGATGGCCTCCAACGAGTCAGAACCCCCTGGACCACCAGCTCCAGCGAGTGGAAGACAGGCCCTCAGCTGCTGAGGAGTCCTTACCCCGAAATCGATCCCCCAGCACCCTGAGAATCTCCTGACCTCCACAGTTTCCACCCAGACCCCCTGAAGAAGGGGAGGGGCTTAGGGAGCCCTACCTTGTCATGTACCATCAATAATATTCACTGTACCCAGCAAAAAAAAAAAATAAAAAAAGAAAAGAAAAAGAAAAAAAGAAATACAATTGATTTTTGTATAATGACCTTGTACTCTGAAATTTTGCTGAACTCATTAATTTTAATGGGTGTGTGTGTATGTGTACAAATTCCTTAGAATTTTCTATGAATAAAATATCATGTCATCTACAAGGAGATTTACTTATTTTCCAATTTGGATCCCTTTTACTTTTTTCTTTCCCACTTGCTACTTAAATATTAGCTTGTTAAACATTTTAAATCCAAGTTTTAATCGGCTGCTTGTGCCAAATTGCCTCGTAGGGGAATCTCCTGATCCCAGGGCCATCCTCTGACAAGAGGATGCTGGGTCAGCCACGCAGAGGCACACACTCTCTGGGGTCAGGAGGCTATGAGCTCCACCCCGTCTGAGGTCCTGCTCCCACTCCTTACTCCAAGTTCAGGACACTAGGCTTCCATACATAATTGGTCACCAACTGTTCACTTACTACTTTTCACAAGATCACAGAGTAAAGGAGAAAAGAGATACTGGAGTAAAAGTACAGGCCCGGGAAACACAAACAACCCACCCAGCAGCCAGGCAGCAGTGGGGTGGGGGCAGCAGGAGTAGCTGTGGGAACCAGGGGAGCTCCCAGGACAGTCTGGTGACTGAGTCACCCTATCACTTTCCCCCGTGCAGACCACTTCCCCTCCTGTGTCAGGACCCCACCCCACGCAAGCTGCCACAAGGTGCGGAGGTGTACAAACTGAAAGGTACCTATACATCAGTGGCCACGGCCACCACGGAGCGGACTGTCCTGTCACACAACCTGCTGGAAAGAGGCAGTCAGCCAGGCTGGTCACAGGGAGGAGAGCTGCGAGGTGCTCCTCTGGCTGGAGCTGTGCCGGCTCAGGACAAAGGTGGAGGAGTTGCTCTTTTTGCTCACGCTGGTCTCCCCAGGCCGAGAGTCCCTCCGGTAGCTGGAGGAGCAACAGAGGATGCGCTGCAGGAGCTCGTGGAAGAGGTGGCCCGTGAAGAGCATGTAGATCCAGGGGTTGCAGCAGCTGTTGAGGCTGGCCAGGAGCATGGCGATGATGAAAGCCGAGGCTGCAGGGGTTGGGGGTGCGGAGAGAAAGAGAACAAGGCATCAGGACCGGAGTGCTAACCACGGTTTCCTGAGAGCAGCTTTTTTCTGGTACCAGGAGCTGGGCCACAGCCAGAGTACGAAACAGGCAAAGTCTGGCCCTGGCTGGTATGCTCAGTGGTTAGAATGTCGGCCCATTCGAAGGGTCACAGGTTCGAATCCCGGTCAAGGGCACGTACCTAGGTTGCAGGTTCAATCCCGATGTGTCTCTCTCACATCAATGGTTCTCTCCCTTTCTCCCTTTCTCCCTTTCTTCCTCCCTCCCTTCCATTCTCTAAAAATCAATGGGAAAAAATATCCTCTGGCCCTAGCCAGTCTTCCTCAGTGGTTAGAACATCAGCCCGAGGACTAAAGGGTCTCAGATTCAATTCAGTCAAGGGCATGTATCTCGGTTGCAGGCTTCCCAGCCCTGGTCGGGCGTATGCGGGAGGCAACCAATCCATATTTCTCTCTCTATGTCTCCCCCCTTCCCCCCCGCCTTCCACTCTCTCTTAAAAAAAAGAGAAAAAAAATAAAGGAAAAAAATCAA